TTTTGGTTTATGCTTATTTGTTTCTTTCCTTTTCTCCCCCCTAACATATCGAGTTCACTTATTTATTTATTTTTAATCATACAGAGAGATTTGAGATGCGCCCCGTGATCTTTATTACTCCACCTACATGCATGTTATCGAAGTCTGTTCTAGATGTTCAAATTCAAGTTAAGCTAAGAATTATCACTTAAGAAAGGGTATGAGAGGACTAAGCACTGAGAAAGACAATGATAACACGTCTAGACAGGGGGATCATAACTGCAAATAAGGGCGCTGACCAATGTAGTTGCCACGGGGATGATAACAGCAAATCACGAACCACAAATCATCATTTGTGCATTGAATCCTAGCGCAGCCCAGACCAACTGAGCTGTTCCAAACCACCTGAGTGTAGTTCCCGCACTCCCCCGTTTCTGGAGCACTTGCGTTGGAGTCGTAATCGTAGTATTGCTTCGCACTCACCCACTGATTGATGGCATCCCTGGCCGTGAAGTCTCCGCTGCCTTCAGCTAAGTTCTCACCGTAAGGGCCCCCAGATCGCGTCCAATTGCAGTAGTTTATAATCTGATTGGCGTAGTCATGTGCATAGCCGGCCACCGTGTCGTCCCAAGCTATCGGGACAACACCAACTTGGGCACGAGCTGCGTTATGAACATCGAGATAATCCTGTTCTGAGTTTTGAGCTCCAGATGGCCAGAAGATTACAAGGTGAATGAAGCTAAATAATGCGCGCTAAGAAGATCTTAAATGATCCCATTTCTCACTACTTCTTTTTGCGCTTTGAAAATACGAGAGCAGTGAAGTTGTGCGATTCTCATCTATAGCCTATGCATGAGTTTATTTATACAGGGAAGGACGTCGGAAAATTTTGGCTTTTGGGTTATACAAAGGTTTATATCATATTTAAGGAAGGAAAGGAAATTATCTTAGAGTATTTAAACACAAGCAAGTGCTATGTATATGGTAAACATTCTCGCAACACTTGTACATCTAAGTGCCATTCGTATTAACATCAATCATTGCTCTCTCGCGGGTCCCCGTTCCTATTTCCTTCCCACGGATTGGGAGTATTAGAACCTAAATCACATTCAAGACTCAAGTTTGCGATCCATCTCCATGGTTCAAGACTCAAGTAAGGGTGAGAAATCACATTCAAGACTCAAGTTTAGCTGTTCAAATTTTAATGTGTGTGTGTGTGTGTGTGTTTTTTTTTGGGGTCTCTCCAAAGATAGTTTTGAAAATAGTTTTTAATCCTTTTTATGTAAGCGACTTGGAGAGAAAAATTTGAAGATGCAGCTATTTTTGGATATATTTTCTGCACGGTTGCCAGAGCAATTGCAACGTATATATAGTTGATGATTTACATAAATTTAATTGAAATTTGGATGAATTGGATTCCTTTGTATGACGCAACTTTTAGGTGACAAAATTTACATGCAGAATCCATGTAGTGGATTATTGTCCATATTTGGATATCTTATTTTTGTGGTTCTAGAGAGTTGCAATTTTGATCTCCAATATTCGGAGGGTAGACTAAAATGATCTCTTATACTACTCAAAATACAGTTAGTTCCACCTGTTTCAAAAATGAAGCAAATTGGTCGCGTAATTTCCCAACACCCCACCTCCATTGTCAAGATCAAGCACTTTGATGCTGCCCTGTTATGTTATCCAAATATTGTGGAAAAAGGTACCCTTAGAAGCGCGTTTATCTTGACTAAGACTTTGGGACACCATCATCTGCTTGCCAGCCAACCATCCATCCCAATTCCCACCATTCATTCATTGTCCGTCGTTGCTCAGAGAATTGGAACCATAAGCGGTGGCCCGTTCGCGACGGGAATAGTTGTAGTAGTAGTAGTAAAGAAACGAAATAGAACTAGTCTATTAGTACTGGTCCTCCTAGAGGATATTTTCAGAGTTTGTTGACAGTTGAGTCCAAGCCGTAAGATAGAAGTTCGCTACAAGAAAAAGCTTTTGGTTGTCGGTATATAATGGAGAAATCAGACAAAGCTCTTTGCTTTATTAAGCAACTGAAAACGACAGGCACTCCCAGGAAATTATACTTCCCTCTTTCGTTTTGTACCCAGAAAAAAGAAAAAGACGGCCAGAAGCATGTAGCCGGTGGGCATCGCCCAACGGGTACCGCTGGAGACAACAGGAGCTGAAGTCTGGGCGGCACTTCAAGTGTTTGCGTGTGGGTCGGTCCCCTGAGTAATATCCACAGAGAATGGCATGTATTTTCAGGAAGAAAACTGGGGGAAAAAATCTAGGAGATTGCAATGATACCATCATACCCCGCATCTACATCACCCGAAATTGCTCAAAAGTTATTGAATCAGTCCAAGATTCAATTTAGGATTTCTCCAATCACCGTTTAAAAAGTTATTATTCCTCTTGACTAGTTGGTAAGATTGGTGAGATTTACAAATTAGGTTGAATCTAGTAGCTCGTAGGGTGATTATTACTGTGTTTTGTAATGTTTCGAAACTCGGACTGATGGTTAAATTAGTAAAGTGGTCGGGTTAGGGTTCAATCGGTTCAAATCCGATCCATTAATTTTTTAATTTATTTTTTATTTTAAAAATAAATAATAACAAATAAGCAGAAATATGTATAATCAACACAAAAATCCTAAATTTTAAATATCTTTTAGAGAAGATTTACTGATTTAGTATCTTTTAATTCATCAACCAAAAAAAGAAAAAGTACTTCTTAAAAAAAATTAAGAATCAACAAAATTATGAACAAATCTATCCAATATTTTAACTTAAAGAAGGAAGACTTTAACTTTCCCAACTCAAAAACAAATCTGATAGAATTTGTAAAATTGACTCCAAAAAAAGTAGAAAAAATTAATGAGTATGAAAACAAAAGATAGAAGAGGAAAGGAAAAACGAGTTTGCTTCTTTATCTACTAAGTTCAACTTCATGATCATCTACACCATTAATAATGTAAAAGAAAAGAGGGAAAAATGCAAAAAAAAAAAAAAAAAAAAAAAAAAAAAAAAGAGAAGATGAGTAGAGTTTGTAGAGTGGCTCCTAGAGGTGAAAATTCTTAAAAGAGAAGAGAATTAAGAGTTTATTTAGTTTTTTTTTCAACACAGGGAGTATCCCAGTTTTGCCAGACTAATCTCCTTGCGCCCGTGCACCCCCCTCCAAGAATACACAAGCAGTAGAGAGATGACTTGAACACACGATCTCGGGATCTAATTAGGCCAACTTGAGACCATCTGAGCCAATCTTAATGGACAAAAATCTATGCTAAGATTTTCGTTTTTTTAGGGCAAATTACATTTTACCGCCATGGTGATTTAGCCTTTTTTTTTTTACATAACCCCCTTATGGTTTCAAAAGCTATACATAACCCTCTCATGGTTTGGATTAAAGTGTCAAAGTGACGGAAATAGTCACTCGTAACGGAACTTCTAAAAATATCGAAATTACCCTTATAAATACATGACACATTAACCCCATATAATTTTTATATTTTAGTATATAACCCCCTTATGATTTTTAAAATTATCATATAACCCCCTTATGGTTTTCAAAATATACAAATAACCCCCCTTGGTTAATAAATAATTTTCAACTTTACATAAGGGTATTTTTGACATTTTAGGTGACTTCGTTACGAATGGTCATTCCCGTCACTTTGACATATAGTTTTTGAAATCATAGGAGAGTTATGTAAAAAAATGCTAAACCACAGGGGGTAAAGTGGAATTTGCCCTTTTTTTTAACATAGGGAGTATCCCAATTTTGCCAGACTAATCTCCCTGTGTCTGTGCACCCCACCCCTCAAGAATATATAAGCGGTAAAGAGATAACTCGAACATATGACCTTAAGACCTAACTAGGTTATCTCGATACCATCCGAGCCAACCCAAGGGATTTTTAAATTTTACTTGAATTAGTCATTTTGTTTTGAAGTTTGACCAACTAAGGTATTTTCTTTAATTCGAGAAAAGATGGCCCACCATCCAACTTAATTGTAGCAGCAAACAATTAGTTGTCGTTGTTAGGCTTTGATAGAGCCCAGAAGCTCGAACAATTGAGTATCCTATAAAAGAAAAGTCCAAGGCCCAAGTCAAAATTCATAAATCGGACTTGACCTGTTTAAGCGATTTATTCCGGTTCACCAATTTTGATTGATTTTGACTGATTTTTTAACTTTTTGGGGTTTTTCATAGAATTGGACCAGTATCATGGTTAGTTTGTGATTCGATCGATCGAACTGACTGATTTGGTCCGATTCTTAAAATATTAATGTTTTGCCCTTCCATAGAATTTTTAACTAAAACTGTTATATGGTCAAAAAGAAAATGCAAAATGTGTAATAATTAGAATTTAAAGTGTAAACTAAGAAACAACACTTGAAATTAGCTTTGCAACCTGTAAGTGTTGCAAAAAAATAGTTCATCATTTTTCATTCATCATCTCCCCTTTGATAAAGATACAATCAAAACACAAATACTTCCTAAATAATCTTAACAAGATAATAGAAAATCAAAGATAGTTAAACTAGTCAAAAGACCAAAAATATAGAACAATTCTAACAAGTAGCTAACAACCTAACTTACAGAACTAAATTCAACCCCTTCACCTACGTATGCTCCTTTGGCATCTCCTGATTAATAAAATAATGTTTGATTACTTGAATAATTAGTCATCAAACTCAAATCCCAAACGAATCCACAAAAGAATTGAGACTGATTATCTCCAATGGCCACCCCTAACTTGAGGATACAGCCGGCTTCCCACCTTTCTCTACCCTGCAAGAAAATATACGCCTGGCCAAGAAATAATCATCTACCCTGCACATCTGAAATTGTGACCTCGTTCAAAGAACAAAATTCTGGGTTTTCAGGTAACTTGGTATTGTTAAGAGTCATAATTTCAGCAAAAGCTGGTCGCTTAGGAGTGGCGAGAGCCATTGATTCCTTGAGGAGCATAGATATCACATCTGACATTGTTGGCCTATCTGCTGCTTTTTCTTGCACACACAATAAACCAACGTGAACATATTTTAGTGCTTCCCTTGTTGAGACCGTTTCATCCAAACACGAATCTGTGATTTCTGAAATTCTTCCTTCTGTCCATAGATCCCAGACCTGGAATGTGACAAATGATCATTCCCAAATTACTGGACTGAAGGAAATGACACAAGTAAAACTGCATTGTACAGGTAACTTACATGTCCTATTAAGTTCAAGTGACGATCCGCATCATAGAAAGAAGTGTTCTTCTTTCCACTTATGATCTCAAGAATCATGACGCCAAAGCTAAATACATCAGACTTCTCGGAGTAAACCCCGTCCATGGCATATTCAGGAGACACATAACCACTTTTTTTCTCGCAAAAAGTAATCATCTCCATTAGCTTAAGCATGAGATTAGAGATTGGATATTACTTGGAGCAAAACAACAAACAAGAAGATGTTCCTTCAACTTACTATGTCCCCACAATGTTCATTGTACTTCCGCGCATTTCATTCTCTCCAAAAATTCTGGCGGTTCCAAAATCCGAAATTTTGGGATTCAAGTCCGCATCCAATAAAACATTGCTCGTTTTTAGATCTCTATGGATGATTTTCAGTCTAGAATACTTGTGGAGGTACAAAAGCCCCTGACCGACCCCTTCAATGATTTTCAACCTTCCTTTCCAATCCAATATATTCCGCTTTGCTGCATCTGTAAAAAAGGCAGATCCCAGTATTTTCATAGTATTCTGATAGTTGTAAGCATGTAACTTAGATAAATGAATGAAGGTAAATAGAGTTCTGACACATACCAAAAAGTACTGAATCTAGACTGTTATTAGGCAAGTACTCGTATACCAATAAACGCTCTTCTTTCTCAATGCAGGAGCCCAAAAGTCTAACAAGGTTTCGATGTTGCAGCTTTGAGATCACTTTGACTTCATTCTTGAATTGTTCAATTCCATGTCCTGACATTCTATTCAATCTTTTAACTGCAACCTCTAGCCCGTTGACCAGTTTACCCTGAACCACGTATTTACATTTAAATTAAGCAAATAAATAGGCTTTTTGGACTTAATCGTTTCAAGAAATGTTTAATTAGCTTACCTTGAAGACAGGACCAAATCCTCCTTGACCAAGTTTGTTTTCATCAGAAAAATAATCTGTGGCAACTTCTATGCTTGTGAAACTGAAGAACAGTGATTCATCATCGCCTTTGTCATCAAGATCTGGCCTTTCTGGACCCATGAATTTTCTAAGGTTACCTTTTCTATTTCGCAATTTGCAACACCAGAAAAGTACTGCAAGAGCTGCTAGAACAGTCGCTACGGCAGCACCAACAACCGATAACTTCACCCTTAAATTCTTCGATTTCTTTCTTCCACTGGGAGGCCCGGCAGGTAATGGAGGAGAACCAGGTGCAGGAGCACGTGAAGGGCCAGAAGCAGCAGCCTGCAATCAGCAAGTTGTACTTTTTCATGTACTTTCTTTCATTCCATAGTCTCTCATTAAACATGAACTTAAAGCAAATAATTGAATGTTAGGAATCCGTGTTTTGTGCCGATCTGTGCCTCGTCAATTCTTAATCCAGCCTTGTCATCGGTTGAGGGCCTGGTCTCCTTCATTTTTCCAGGTCTCAAGCACAATGCATCGGCCTAACTATGCTCCAAAAATCTAACTTTCGTCCTAAGATACGTTCAATTAAGCCCCTTTTTGGTTTATGCTTATTCGTTTCTTTGCTTTTCTCCCCCTTAACATATCGAGTTCATTTATTATTATTTTTTAATTATATAGAGAGATTTGAGATGTACCCCTTGATCCTTATTACTCCATTCGCATGCATGTTATTGAAGTCTGTTCTAGATGTTCAAATTCAAGTTAAGTGAAGAATTATCACTTTAAGAAAGGGTATGAGGGGACTAAGCACTGAGAAAGACAAAGATAACACATCTAGACAGGGAGATCATAACTGCAAATAAGGACGCTGACCAATATAGTTGCCAGAGGGGTAATAACTGCAAATCACGAACCACCAACCATTGTTTGTGCATTGAACCCTAGCGCAGCCCAGACCGACTGATCTGTTCCAAACCACCTGAGTGTAGTGGCTGCACGCCTGCCCTTGAGCACATGTGTTGGAGTTGTAATCGTAGAATTGCTTCTCCGTTAACCACAGATTGACGGCATCCCTGGCCGTCAAGTCTCCGCTGCCTTCAGCTAAGTTCTCACCGTAAGGGCCCCCAGAGCGCCTTAAGTTGCAGTCTTTTTTCGTGTAATTGGCGACGTCATGTGCATAGCCGGCCACCGTGTCGTCCCAAGCTATCGGGCCAACACCAACTTGGGCACGAGCTGCGTTATGAACATCGAGATAATCCTGTTTTGAGTTTTGAGCTCCAGATGGCCAGAAGATTACAAGGTGAATGAAGCTAAATACTGCTAAGAAGATCTTAAATGATCCCATTTCTCACTACTTTTTGCGCTTTGAAAATACGAGAGCAGTGAAGTTGTGCAATTCTCATCTATAGCCTATGCATGAGTTTATTTATGCAGGGAAGGACGTCGGAAAATTTTGACTTTTGGGTTATACAAAGGTTTATATCATATCTAAGGAAGGTAGGATTATTTAAAAACAAGCTTTAATTATATATATATATAAAGGGGATAGAAAGAAAAGAAATAAGTCATGGAAGACTAAGAAGTATCTTCCAACGAGACTCGGTCGAGTACAAACAAGTGCTATACATATAGTAAACATTTTCGCAACACCTGTACATCTAACTGCCACGCGTATTAACATCATTGGCTCTGTTTGGATTGTAAATTATTTGAGATATTTTTACTGTAGCATTTTTTGTGATGTGATGTATGTGAGATAAAAAGATAATTGAGAAGATAAAAAGGTGTATTAAAAATTATAATGGTGATATAATTAAATAAATTTTGACAAATAATTCTCTATCCAAACAAACCCATTATTGCTCTCTCGAGTCCTGCTTCGCCCCTGCTGTCGTGGGTCTTGGTTCCTATTTCCTTCCCACGGATTGGGAGTCTTAGAACCTAAATCACATTCAAGACTCAAGTTTATGATCCATCTCCATGGTTCAAGACTCAAGCAAGTGTGAGAAATTTTGTGGGGCGTTGACCATTCTCTGTTTAGCTTTTCAAATTTTAATTTTTTTTTTCTCTCCAAAGGTTGTTTTGAAAATAGTTTTTATCTTTTTTATGTAAGCGACTTGGAGAGAAAAATTTGAAGATGCAACTATTTTGGAACGACCCGCTAGGGAATAGTTGCAGCGGTAAAATGCTAAATAGAACCGGTCAACAGCACTGGCCCTCTTGGAAGATATTTTAGCTTTAAAACCACTTTTCAGAAAATGTGAATTCTCCTCTACATGTGAAAAACTAAAAGGTACTAGTCAATTAGTAATAACTAGATTGGACTGCTGCAACTGTTTAGGGTTTTCGTGAAAATTATTAATATTCCAGTAATGTGATGTATATGGAATAAAAAAATATTTAATTTTTTTTTTCGCAAAAAATGACAATCAAAGCAGGCTTAGCAAATTTGCAACTAAGATCAGAAAGGACATCAAATGAAAGAATTTTTTTGCTCTGTGGCTTGCTTAAAAGCAAACAGTTTTGTTAAAGCGATGTTGCCCTATTTCTCTTGTTCATCATCAATACAAAGTCCACGTTTTGAGGGGGCAAAAAGATAGTTCTAATAACATGTTTTGTTTTGTTGCTGTCAAAAATACTCTAGGTATGCATTTTTCATCAACATGATTAATTGCAAGCTATAGGAGTCGCATGCCAGGTGATTTGATCCTCCAAATATGAGCCGGCAACTAGGAACTTCAAGTACCTGTGGTAGTCAACTCACTCAAATGTGAGTTGGTTGTCAAATTACTAATAAGTAAAATAATGCTTGATTACTTGAATAATTAGTCATCAAACTCAAATCCAAAACCAAAACGAATCCACAAAAGAATTGAGACTGATTATCTGCAGTGGCCACCCCTGAGTCCCTGACCTGAGGACACGGCCTGCTTCTCACCTTCCTCTGTATGCAATTACCACTTACAACTTGCAACATCCGTCAGTCAGTCGACAACGGGTACGTCCTTTTGTCCTGGGCTATTCCTATCTTAAGGACTAAAATTTGTCCTAACCCACAGCTTGGTGAAACAAAGTAGGAAAATATAAGCCTGGCCAAGAAATAATCATCTACCCTGCACATCTGAAATTGTGACCTCGTTCAAAGAACAAGATTCTGGATTTTGAGGTAACTTGGTATTGTTAAGAGTCATAATTTCAGCAAAAGCAGGTCGCTTTGGAGTGGCAAGAGCCATTGATTCCTTGAGGAGCATAGATACCACATCTGACATTGTTGGTCTATCTGCTGCTTTTTCTTGCACACACAATAAACCAACGTGAACATATTTTAGTGCTTCGCTTGTTGAGATCGTTTCATCCAAACAAGAATCTGTGATTTCTGAAATTCTTCCTTCTGTCCATAGATCCCAGACCTGGAATGTGACAAATGATCATTCCCAAATTACTGGACTGAAGGAAATGACACAAGTAAAACTGCATTGTACCGGTAACTTACATGTCCTATTAAGTTCAGGTGACGATCCGAATCGTAGAACGAAGTGTTCTTCTTTCCAGTTATGATCTCAAGAATCATGACTCCAAAGCTAAATACATCGGACTTCTCAGAGTAAATCCCGTCCATGGCGTATTCAGGAGACATATAACCACTTTTTTTCTCGCAAAAAGTAATCATCTCAATTAGCTTAAGCATGAGATTAGAGATTGGATGTTGCTCGGAGCAAAATAACAAACAAGAAGATATTCCTTCAACTTACTATGTCCCAACAATGTTCAATGTACTTCCGCGCATTTCATTCTCTCCAAAAATTCTGGCGGTTCCAAAATCTGAAATTTTGGGATTCAGGTCCGCGTCCAATAAAACATTGCTCGTTTTCAGATCTCTGTGGATGATCTTTAATCTAGAATACTTGTGAAGGTACAAAAGCCCCTGAGCGACCCCTTCAATGATTTTCTTCCTTCTTTTCCAATCCAATATATTCCGCTTTGCTGCATCTGTAAGCATTTTTAGAGTATTCTGATAGTTGTAAGCATGTAACTTACATAAGCAAGAACAAATGAAGGTACATAGAGTTCTGACACATACCAAAAAGTACTGAATCCAGACTGTTATTCGGCAAGTACTCGTATACCAATAAACGCTCTTCTTTCTCAATGCAGGAGCCCAAAAGTCTAACAAGGTTTCGATGTTGCAGCTTTGAGATCACTTTGACTTCATTCTTGAATTGTTGTATTCCATGTCCTGACATTCTATTCAATCTTTTAACTGCAATCTCTAGCCCGTTAACCAGTTTACCCTGAACCATGTATTAACATTAAAATTAAGCAAATATATAGGCTTTTTGGACTTAAAAGTTAATCGTTTCAAGAAATGTTTAATTAGCTTACCTTGTAGACAGGACCAAATCCTCCTTGACCAAGTTTGTTTTCCTCAGAAAAATGATCTGTGGCAACTTCTATGCTTGTAAAACTGAAGAACAGTGATTCATCATCCCCTCTGTCATCAAGATCTAGCCTTTCTGGACCCATGAATTTTCTAAGGTTGCCTTTTCTCTTTCGCAATTTGCAACACCCGAAAAGTAATCCAAGAGCTGCTAGAAAAGTCGCTATGGCAGCACCAACAACATATAACTTCACCCTTAAATTCTTCGATTTCTTTCTTCCACTGGGAGGGCCGGCAGGTAATGAAGGAGAAACAGGGGCAGGAGCACGTGAAGGACCAACAGGAAATGAAGGAGAGCCAGGGGCGGGGGAAGTGAAGGGCCAACAGGAAATGAAGGAGAACCAGGGGCGGGAGCAGGTGATGGGCCAACAGGAAATGAAGGAGAGCCAGATGTGGGAGCAACTGAAGGGCCAGAAGCAGCAGCCTGCAATCAGCAAGTTGTACTCTTTCATATACTTTCTTTCATTGCATAGTCTCTCATTTAACATGAACTTAAAGCAACTAATTGAATGTTAGGAATCCGTGTTTTGTGCCGATCTGTGCCTCATCATTTCTTAATCCAGCCTTGTCATCGGTTGAGGGCCTGGTCTCCTTCATTTTTATGAATCGGCCTAACTATGCTCCAAAAATCTAACTTTCATCCTAAGATGCGTTCAATTAAGCCCCTTTTTGGTTTATGCTTATTTGTTTCTTTCCTTTTCTCCCCCCTAACATATCGAGTTCATTTATTTTTTTAATTAGATGGAGAGATTTGTGATGTACCCCTTGATCTTTATTACTCCACCTGCATGCATGTTATCGAAGTCTGTTCTAGAAGTTCAAATTCAAGTTAAGCTAAGAATTATCACTTAAGAAAGGGTATGAGAGGACTAAGCACGGAGAAAGACAAAGATAACACGTCTAGACGGGGATCATAACTTCAAATAAGGACGCTGACCAATGTAGTTGCCACGGGGATGATAACAGCAAATCACGAACTACAAATCATCATTTGTGCATTGAACCCTAGCGCAGCCCAGACCAACTGAGCTGTTCCAAACCACCTGAGTGTAGTTCCCGCACTCCTCCGTTTCTGGAGCACATGCGTTGGAGTCGTAATCGTAGTATTGCCTCGCACTCACCCACTGATTGACGGCATCCCCGGCCGTGAAGTCTCCGCTGCCTTCAGCTAAGTTCTCACCGTAAGGGCCCCCAGATCGCGTCCAATTGCAGTAGGTTATAATCTGATAGGCGTAGTCATGTGCATAGTCAGCCACCGTGTCGTCCCAAGCTATCGGGCCAACACCAACTTGGGCACGAGCTGCGTTATGAACATCGAGATAATCCTGTTTTGAGTTTTGAGCTCCAGATGGCCAGAAGATTACAAGGTGAATGAAGCTAAATAATGCTAAGGAGATCTTAAATGATCCCATTTCTCACTACTTCTTTTTGCGCTTTGAAAATACGAGAGCAGTGAAGGTTTGCAATTCTCATCTATAGCCTATGCATGAGTTTATTTATACAGGGAAGGACGTCTTGGCTTTTGGGTTATGCAAAGGTTTATATCATATTTAAGGAAGGAAAGGAAATTATGTAGGAGTATTTAAAAACAAGATTTAATCATATCTATAAAAAAGGGATAGAAAGAAAAGAAATGAAGTCATGGAAGACTAAGAAGTATCTTCTAATGAGACTCGGTCGAGTACAAACATTCTCGCAACACTTGTACATCTAACTGCCAATCGTATTAACATCATTGCTCTCTCGCGGGTCCCTGTTCCTATTTCCTTCCCACGGATTGGGAGTCTTAGGACCTAATAAATCACATTCAAGACTCAAGTTTGCGATCCATCTCCATGGTTCAAGACTCAAGTAAGGGTGAGAAATCACATTCAAGACTCAAGTTTAGCTTTTCAAATTTTAATGTGTGTGTGTGTGTGTGTGTGTTTTTTTTTGGGTCTCTCCAAAGATAGTTTTGAAAATAGCTTTTAATCCTTTTTATGTAAGCGACTTGGAGAGAAAAATTTGAAGATGCAGCAGCTATTTTTGGATATATTTTCTGCACGGTTGCCAGAGCAATTGCAACGTATATATAGTTGATGATTTACATAAATTTAATTGAAATTTGGATGAATTGGATTCCTTGTATTGTATGACGCAACTTTTAGGTGACAAAATTTACATACAGAATCCATGTAGTGGATTATTGTCCATATTTGGATATCTTATTTTTGTGGTTCTAGAGAGTTGCAATTTTGATCTCCAATATTCGGAGGGTAGACTAAAATGATCTCTTATACTACTCAAAATACAGTTAGTTCCACCTGTTTCAAAAATGAAGCAATTTGGTCGCGTAATTTCCCAACACCCCACCTCCATTGTCAAGATCAAGCACTTTGATGCTGCCCTGTTATGTTATCCAAGTATTGTGGAAAAAGGTACCCTTAGAAGCGCGTTTATCTTGACTAAGACTTTGGAACACCATCATCTGCTTGCCAGCCATCCCAATTCCCACCATTCATTCATTGTCCGTCGTTGCTCAGAGAATTGGAACCATAACTGCGGTGGCCCGTTCGGGACGGGAATAGTTGTAGTAGTAGTAAAGAAACGAAATAGAACTAGTCTATTAGTACTGGTCCTCCTAGAGGATATTTTCAGAGTTTGTTGACTGTTGAGTCCAAGCCGTAAGATAGAAGTTCGCTAGAAGAAAAAGCTTTTGATTATCGGTATATAATGGAGAATTCAGACAAAGCTCTTTGCTTTATTAAGCAACTGAAAACGACAGGCACTCCCAGGAAATTATACTTCCCTCTTTCGTTTTGTACCCAGAAAAAAGAAAAAGACGGCCAGAAGCATGTAGCCGGTGGGCATCGCCCAACGGGTACCGCTGGAGACAACAGGAGCTGAAGTCTGGGCGGCACTTCAAGTGTTTGCGTGTGGGTCGGTCCCTTGAGTAATATCCACAGAGAATGACATGTATTTTCAGGAAGAAAACTGGGGGAAAAAATCTAGGAGATTGCAATGATACCATCATACCCCGCATCTACATCACCCGAAATTGCTCAAAAGTTATTGAATCAGTCCAAGATTCAATTTAGGATTTCTCCAATCACCGTTTAAAAAGTTATTATTCCTCTTGACTAGTTGGTAAGATTGGTGAGATTTACAAATTAGGTTGAATCTAGTAGCTCGTAGGGTGATTATTACTGTGTTTTGTAATGTTTCGAAACTCAGACTGATGGTTAAATTAGTAAAGTGGTCGGGTTAGGGTTCAATCGGTTCAAATCCGATCCATTAATTTTTTAATTTATTTTTTATTTTAAAAATAAATAATAACAAATAAGCATAAATATGTATAATCCACACAAAAATCCTAAATTTTTAATATCTTCTAGAGAAGATTTATTGATTTAGTATCTTTTAATTCATCAACCAAAAAAAAGAAAAAGTACTTCATAAAAAAGATTAAGAATCAACAAAATTATGAACAAATCTATCCAATATTTTAACTTAAACAAGGAAAAGTTTAACTTCCCCAACTCAAAAACAAATCTGATAGAATTTGTAAAATTGACTCCAAAAAAAGTAGAAAAAATCATGAGTATGAAAACAAAAGATAGAAGAGGAAAGGAAAAACGAGTTTGCTTCTTTATCTACTAAGTTCAACTTCATGATCATCTACACCATTAAAAATGTAAAAGAAAAGAGGGAAAAATGCAAAAAAAAAAAAAAAAAAAGAAAAAAAGAAAAGAGAAGATGAGTAGAGTTTGTAGAGTGGCTCCTAGAGGTGAAAATTCTTAAAAGAGAAGAGAATTAAGAGTTTATTTAGTTTTTTTTTCAACACAGGGAGTATCCCAGTTTTGCCAGACTAATCTCCTTGCGCCCGTGCACCCCCCTCCAAGAATACACAAGCAGTAGAGAGATGACTTGAACACACGATCTCGGGATCTAATTAGGCCAACTTGAGACCATCTGAGCCAATCTTAATGGACAAAAATCTATGCTAAGATTTTCGTTTTTTTAGGGCAAATTACATTTTACCGCCATGGTGATTTAGCCTTTTTTTTTTTACATAACCCCCTTATGGTTTCAAAAGCTATACATAACCCTCTCATGGTTTGGATTAAAGTGTCAAAGTGACGGAAATAGTCACTCGTAACGGAACTTCTAAAAATATCGAAATTACCCTTATAAATACATGACACATTAACCCCATATAATTTTTATATTTTAGTATATAACCCCCTTATGATTTTTAAAATTATCATATAACCCCCTTATGGTTTTCAAAATATACAAATAACCCCCCTTGGTTAATAAATAATTTTCAACTTTACATAAGGGTATTTTTGACATTTTAGGTGACTTCGTTACGAATGGTCATTCCCGTCACTTTGACATATAGTTTTTGAAATCATAGGAGAGTTATGTAAAAAAATGCTAAACCACAGGGGGTAAAGTGGAATTTGCCCTTTTTTTTAACATAGGGAGTATCCCAATTTTGCCAGACTAATCTCCCTGTGTCTGTGCACCCCACCCCTCAAGAATATATAAGCGGTAAAGAGATAACTCGAACATATGACCTTAAGACCTAACTAGGTTATCTCGATACCATCCGAGCCAACCCAAGGGATTTTTAAATTTTACTTGAATTAGTCATTTTGTTTTGAAGTTTGACCAACTAAGGTATTTTCTTTAATTCGAGAAAAGATGGCCCACCATCCAACTTAATTGTAGCAGCAAACAATTAGTTGTCGTTGTTAGGCTTTGATAGAGCCCAGAAGCTCGAACAATTGAGTATCCTATAAAAGAAAAGTCCAAGGCCCAAGTCAAAATTCATAAATCGGACTTGACCTGTTTAAGCGATTTATTCCGGTTCACCAATTTTGATTGATTTTGACTGATTTTTTAACTTTTTGGGGTTTTTCATAGAATTGGACCAGTATCATGGTTAGTTTGTGATTCGATCGATCGAACTGACTGATTTGGTCCGATTCTTAAAATATTAATGTTTTGCCCTTCCATAGAATTTTTAACTAAAACTGTTATATGGTCAAAAAGAAAATGCAAAATGTGTAATAATTAGAATTTAAAGTGTAAACTAAGAAACAACACTTGAAATTAGCTTTGCAACCTGTAAGTGTTGCAAAAAAATAGTTCATCATTTTTCATTCATCATCTCCCCTTTGATAAAGATACAATCAAAACACAAATACTTCCTAAATAATCTTAACAAGATAATAGAAAATCAAAGATAGTTAAACTAGTCAAAAGACCAAAAATATAGAACAATTCTAACAAGTAGCTAACAACCTAACTTACAGAACTAAATTCAACCCCTTCACCTACGTATGCTCCTTTGGCATCTCCTGATTAATAAAATAATGTTTGATTACTTGAATAATTAGTCATCAAACTCAAATCCCAAACGAATCCACAAAAGAATTGAGACCTGATTATCTCCAATGGCCACCCCTAACTTGAGGATACAGCCGGCTTCCCACCTTTCTCTACCCTGCAAGAAAATATACGCCTGGCCAAGAAATAATCATCTACCCTGCACATCTGAAATTGTGACCTCGTTCAAAGAACAAAATTCTGGGTTTTCAGGTAACTTGGTATTGTTAAGAGTCATAATTTCAGCAAAAGCTGGTCGCTTAGGAGTGGCGAGAGCCATTGATTCCTTGAGGAGCATAGATATCACATCTGACATTGTTGGCCTATCTGCTGCTTTTTCTTGCACACACAATAAACCAACGTGAACATATTTTAGTGCTTCCCTTGTTGAGACCGTTTCATCCAAACACGAATCTGTGATTTCTGAAATTCTTCCTTCTGTCCATAGATCCCAGACCTGGAATGTGACAAATGATCATTCCCAAATTACTGGACTGAAGGAAATGACACAAGTAAAACTGCATTGTACAGGTAACTTACATGTCCTATTAAGTTCAAGTGACGATCCGCATCATAGAAAGAAGTGTTCTTCTTTCCACTTATGATCTCAAGAATCATGACGCCAAAGCTAAATACATCAGACTTCTCGGAGTAAACCCCGTCCATGGCATATTCAGGAGACACATAACCACTTTTTTTCTCGCAAAAAGTAATCATCTCCATTAGCTTAAGCATGAGATTAGAGATTGGATATTACTTGGAGCAAAACAACAAACAAGAAGATGTTCCTTCAACTTACTATGTCCCCACAATGTTCATTGTACTTCCGCGCATTTCATTCTCTCCAAAAATTCTGGCGGTTCCAAAATCCGAAATTTTGGGATTCAAGTCCGCATCCAATAAAACATTGCTCGTTTTTAGATCTCTATGGATGATTTTCAGTCTAGAATACTTGTGGAGGTACAAAAGCCCCTGACCGACCCCTTCAATGATTTTCAACCTTCCTTTCCAATCCAATATATTCCGCTTTGCTGCATCTGTAAAAAAGGCAGATCCCAGTATTTTCATAGTATTCTGATAGTTGTAAGCATGTAACTTAGATAAATGAATGAAGGTAAATAGAGTTCTGACACATACCAAAAAGTACTGAATCTAGACTGTTATTAGGCAAGTACTCGTATACCAATAAACGCTCTTCTTTCTCAATGCAGGAGCCCAAAAGTCTAACAAGGTTTCGATGTTGCAGCTTTGAGATCACTTTGACTTCATTCTTGAATTGTTCAATTCCATGTCCTGACATTCTATTCAATCTTTTAACTGCAACCTCTAGCCCGTTGACCAGTTTACCCTGAACCACGTATTTACATTTAAATTAAGCAAATAAATAGGCTTTTTGGACTTAATCGTTTCAAGAAATGTTTAATTAGCTTACCTTGAAGACAGGACCAAATCCTCCTTGACCAAGTTTGTTTTCATCAGAAAAATAATCTGTGGCAACTTCTATGCTTGTGAAACTGAAGAACAGTGATTCATCATCGCCTTTGTCATCAAGATCTGGCCTTTCTGGACCCATGAATTTTCTAAGGTTACCTTTTCTATTTCGCAATTTGCAACACCAGAAAAGTACTGCAAGAGCTGCTAGAACAGTCGCTACGGCAGCACCAACAACCGATAACTTCACCCTTAAATTCTTCGATTTCTTTCTTCCACTGGGAGGCCCGGCAGGTAATGGAGGAGAACCAGGTGCAGGAGCACGTGAAGGGCCAGAAGCAGCAGCCTGCAATCAGCAAGTTGTACTTTTTCATGTACTTTCTTTCATTCCATAGTCTCTCATTAAACATGAACTTAAAGCAAATAATTGAATGTTAGGAATCCGTGTTTTGTGCCGATCTGTGCCTCGTCAATTCTTAATCCAGCCTTGTCATCGGTTGAGGGCCTGGTCTCCTTCATTTTTCCAGGTCTCAAGCACAATGCATCGGCCTAACTATGCTCCAAAAATCTAACTTTCGTCCTAAGATACGTTCAATTAAGCCCCTTTTTGGTTTATGCTTATTCGTTTCTTTGCTTTTCTCCCCCTTAACATATCGAGTTCATTTATTATTATTTTTTAATTATATAGAGAGATTTGAGATGTACCCCTTGATCCTTATTACTCCATTCGCATGCATGTTATTGAAGTCTGTTCTAGATGTTCAAATTCAAGTTAAGTGAAGAATTATCACTTTAAGAAAGGGTATGAGGGGACTAAGCACTGAGAAAGACAAAGATAACACATCTAGACAGGGAGATCATAACTGCAAATAAGGACGCTGACCAATATAGTTGCCAGAGGGGTAATAACTGCAAATCACGAACCACCAACCATTGTTTGTGCATTGAACCCTAGCGCAGCCCAGACCGACTGATCTGTTCCAAACCACCTGAGTGTAGTGGCTGCACGCCTGCCCTTGAGCACATGTGTTGGAGTTGTAATCGTAGAATTGCTTCTCCGTTAACCACAGATTGACGGCATCCCTGGCCGTCAAGTCTCCGCTGCCTTCAGCTAAGTTCTCACCGTAAGGGCCCCCAGAGCGCCTTAAGTTGCAGTCTTTTTTCGTGTAATTGGCGACGTCATGTGCATAGCCGGCCACCGTGTCGTCCCAAGCTATCGGGCCAACACCAACTTGGGCACGAGCTGCGTTATGAACATCGAGATAATCCTGTTTTGAGTTTTGAGCTCCAGATGGCCAGAAGATTACAAGGTGAATGAAGCTAAATACTGCTAAGAAGATCTTAAATGATCCCATTTCTCACTACTTTTTGCGCTTTGAAAATACGAGAGCAGTGAAGTTGTGCAATTCTCATCTATAGCCTATGCATGAGTTTATTTATGCAGGGAAGGACGTCGGAAAATTTTGACTTTTGGGTTATACAAAGGTTTATATCATATCTAAGGAAGGTAGGATTATTTAAAAACAAGCTTTAATTATATATATATATAAAGGGGATAGAAAGAAAAGAAATAAGTCATGGAAGACTAAGAAGTATCTTCCAACGAGACTCGGTCGAGTACAAACAAGTGCTATACATATAGTAAACATTTTCGCAACACCTGTACATCTAACTGCCACGCGTATTAACATCATTGGCTCTGTTTGGATTGTAAATTATTTGAGATATTTTTACTGTAGCATTTTTTGTGATGTGATGTATGTGAGATAAAAAGATAATTGAGAAGATAAAAAGGTGTATTAAAAATTATAATGGTGATATAATTAAATAAATTTTGACAAATAATTCTCTATCCAAACAAACCCATTATTGCTCTCTCGAGTCCTGCTTCGCCCCTGCTGTCGTGGGTCTTGGTTCCTATTTCCTTCCCACGGATTGGGAGTCTTAGAACCTAAATCACATTCAAGACTCAAGTTTATGATCCATCTCCATGGTTCAAGACTCAAGCAAGTGTGAGAAATTTTGTGGGGCGTTGACCATTCTCTGTTTAGCTTTTCAAATTTTAATTTTTTTTTTCTCTCCAAAGGTTGTTTTGAAAATAGTTTTTATCTTTTTTATGTAAGCGACTTGGAGAGAAAAATTTGAAGATGCAACTATTTTGGAACGACCCGCTAGGGAATAGTTGCAGCGGTAAAATGCTAAATAGAACCGGTCAACAGCACTGGCCCTCTTGGAAGATATTTTAGCTTTAAAACCACTTTTCAGAAAATGTGAATTCTCCTCTACATGTGAAAAACTAAAAGGTACTAGTCAATTAGTAATAACTAGATTGGACTGCTGCAACTGTTTAGGGTTTTCGTGAAAATTATTAATATTCCAGTAATGTGATGTATATGGAATAAAAAAATATTTAATTTTTTTTTTCGCAAAAAATGACAATCAAAGCAGGCTTAGCAAATTTGCAACTAAGATCAGAAAGGACATCAAATGAAAGAATTTTTTTGCTCTGTGGCTTGCTTAAAAGCAAACAGTTTTGTTAAAGCGATGTTGCCCTATTTCTCTTGTTCATCATCAATACAAAGTCCACGTTTTGAGGGGGCAAAAAGATAGTTCTAATAACATGTTTTGTTTTGTTGCTGTCAAAAATACTCTAGGTATGCATTTTTCATCAACATGATTAATTGCAAGCTATAGGAGTCGCATGCCAGGTGATTTGATCCTCCAAATATGAGCCGGCAACTAGGAACTTCAAGTACCTGTGGTAGTCAACTCACTCAAATGTGAGTTGGTTGTCAAATTACTAATAAGTAAAATAATGCTTGATTACTTGAATAATTAGTCATCAAACTCAAATCCAAAACCAAAACGAATCCACAAAAGAATTGAGACTGATTATCTGCAGTGGCCACCCCTGAGTCCCTGACCTGAGGACACGGCCTGCTTCTCACCTTCCTCTGTATGCAATTACCACTTACAACTTGCAACATCCGTCAGTCAGTCGACAACGGGTACGTCCTTTTGTCCTGGGCTATTCCTATCTTAAGGACTAAAATTTGTCCTAACCCACAGCTTGGTGAAACAAAGTAGGAAAATATAAGCCTGGCCAAGAAATAATCATCTACCCTGCACATCTGAAATTGTGACCTCGTTCAAAGAACAAGATTCTGGATTTTGAGGTAACTTGGTATTGTTAAGAGTCATAATTTCAGCAAAAGCAGGTCGCTTTGGAGTGGCAAGAGCCATTGATTCCTTGAGGAGCATAGATACCACATCTGACATTGTTGGTCTATCTGCTGCTTTTTCTTGCACACACAATAAACCAACGTGAACATATTTTAGTGCTTCGCTTGTTGAGATCGTTTCATCCAAACAAGAATCTGTGATTTCTGAAATTCTTCCTTCTGTCCATAGATCCCAGACCTGGAATGTGACAAATGATCATTCCCAAATTACTGGACTGAAGGAAATGACACAAGTAAAACTGCATTGTACCGGTAACTTACATGTCCTATTAAGTTCAGGTGACGATCCGAATCGTAGAACGAAGTGTTCTTCTTTCCAGTTATGATCTCAAGAATCATGACTCCAAAGCTAAATACATCGGACTTCTCAGAGTAAATCCCGTCCATGGCGTATTCAGGAGACATATAACCACTTTTTTTCTCGCAAAAAGTAATCATCTCAATTAGCTTAAGCATGAGATTAGAGATTGGATGTTGCTCGGAGCAAAATAACAAACAAGAAGATATTCCTTCAACTTACTATGTCCCAACAATGTTCAATGTACTTCCGCGCATTTCATTCTCTCCAAAAATTCTGGCGGTTCCAAAATCTGAAATTTTGGGATTCAGGTCCGCGTCCAATAAAACATTGCTCGTTTTCAGATCTCTGTGGATGATCTTTAATCTAGAATACTTGTGAAGGTACAAAAGCCCCTGAGCGACCCCTTCAATGATTTTCTTCCTTCTTTTCCAATCCAATATATTCCGCTTTGCTGCATCTGTAAGCATTTTTAGAGTATTCTGATAGTTGTAAGCATGTAACTTACATAAGCAAGAACAAATGAAGGTACATAGAGTTCTGACACATACCAAAAAGTACTGAATCCAGACTGTTATTCGGCAAGTACTCGTATACCAATAAACGCTCTTCTTTCTCAATGCAGGAGCCCAAAAGTCTAACAAGGTTTCGATGTTGCAGCTTTGAGATCACTTTGACTTCATTCTTGAATTGTTGTATTCCATGTCCTGACATTCTATTCAATCTTTTAACTGCAATCTCTAGCCCGTTAACCAGTTTACCCTGAACCATGTATTAACATTAAAATTAAGCAAATATATAGGCTTTTTGGACTTAAAAGTTAATCGTTTCAAGAAATGTTTAATTAGCTTACCTTGTAGACAGGACCAAATCCTCCTTGACCAAGTTTGTTTTCCTCAGAAAAATGATCTGTGGCAACTTCTATGCTTGTAAAACTGAAGAACAGTGATTCATCATCCCCTCTGTCATCAAGATCTAGCCTTTCTGGACCCATGAATTTTCTAAGGTTGCCTTTTCTCTTTCGCAATTTGCAACACCCGAAAAGTAATCCAAGAGCTGCTAGAAAAGTCGCTATGGCAGCACCAACAACATATAACTTCACCCTTAAATTCTTCGATTTCTTTCTTCCACTGGGAGGGCCGGCAGGTAATGAAGGAGAAACAGGGGCAGGAGCACGTGAAGGACCAACAGGAAATGAAGGAGAGCCAGGGGCGGGGGAAGTGAAGGGCCAACAGGAAATGAAGGAGAACCAGGGGCGGGAGCAGGTGATGGGCCAACAGGAAATGAAGGAGAGCCAGATGTGGGAGCAACTGAAGGGCCAGAAGCAGCAGCCTGCAATCAGCAAGTTGTACTCTTTCATATACTTTCTTTCATTGCATAGTCTCTCATTTAACATGAACTTAAAGCAACTAATTGAATGTTAGGAATCCGTGTTTTGTGCCGATCTGTGCCTCATCATTTCTTAATCCAGCCTTGTCATCGGTTGAGGGCCTGGTCTCCTTCATTTTTATGAATCGGCCTAACTATGCTCCAAAAATCTAACTTTCATCCTAAGATGCGTTCAATTAAGCCCCTTTTTGGTTTATGCTTATTTGTTTCTTTCCTTTTCTCCCCCCTAACATATCGAGTTCATTTATTTTTTTAATTAGATGGAGAGATTTGTGATGTACCCCTTGATCTTTATTACTCCACCTGCATGCATGTTATCGAAGTCTGTTCTAGAAGTTCAAATTCAAGTTAAGCTAAGAATTATCACTTAAGAAAGGGTATGAGAGGACTAAGCACGGAGAAAGACAAAGATAACACGTCTAGACGGGGATCATAACTTCAAATAAGGACGCTGACCAATGTAGTTGCCACGGGGATGATAACAGCAAATCACGAACTACAAATCATCATTTGTGCATTGAACCCTAGCGCAGCCCAGACCAACTGAGCTGTTCCAAACCACCTGAGTGTAGTTCCCGCACTCCTCCGTTTCTGGAGCACATGCGTTGGAGTCGTAATCGTAGTATTGCCTCGCACTCACCCACTGATTGACGGCATCCCCGGCCGTGAAGTCTCCGCTGCCTTCAGCTAAGTTCTCACCGTAAGGGCCCCCAGATCGCGTCCAATTGCAGTAGGTTATAATCTGATAGGCGTAGTCATGTGCATAGTCAGCCACCGTGTCGTCCCAAGCTATCGGGCCAACACCAACTTGGGCACGAGCTGCGTTATGAACATCGAGATAATCCTGTTTTGAGTTTTGAGCTCCAGATGGCCAGAAGATTACAAGGTGAATGAAGCTAAATAATGCTAAGGAGATCTTAAATGATCCCATTTCTCACTACTTCTTTTTGCGCTTTGAAAATACGAGAGCAGTGAAGGTTTGCAATTCTCATCTATAGCCTATGCATGAGTTTATTTATACAGGGAAGGACGTCTTGGCTTTTGGGTTATGCAAAGGTTTATATCATATTTAAGGAAGGAAAGGAAATTATGTAGGAGTATTTAAAAACAAGATTTAATCATATCTATAAAAAAGGGATAGAAAGAAAAGAAATGAAGTCATGGAAGACTAAGAAGTATCTTCTAATGAGACTCGGTCGAGTACAAACATTCTCGCAACACTTGTACATCTAACTGCCAATCGTATTAACATCATTGCTCTCTCGCGGGTCCCTGTTCCTATTTCCTTCCCACGGATTGGGAGTCTTAGGACCTAATAAATCACATTCAAGACTCAAGTTTGCGATCCATCTCCATGGTTCAAGACTCAAGTAAGGGTGAGAAATCACATTCAAGACTCAAGTTTAGCTTTTCAAATTTTAATGTGTGTGTGTGTGTGTGTGTGTTTTTTTTTGGGTCTCTCCAAAGATAGTTTTGAAAATAGCTTTTAATCCTTTTTATGTAAGCGACTTGGAGAGAAAAATTTGAAGATGCAGCAGCTATTTTTGGATATATTTTCTGCACGGTTGCCAGAGCAATTGCAACGTATATATAGTTGATGATTTACATAAATTTAATTGAAATTTGGATGAATTGGATTCCTTGTATTGTATGACGCAACTTTTAGGTGACAAAATTTACATACAGAATCCATGTAGTGGATTATTGTCCATATTTGGATATCTTATTTTTGTGGTTCTAGAGAGTTGCAATTTTGATCTCCAATATTCGGAGGGTAGACTAAAATGATCTCTTATACTACTCAAAATACAGTTAGTTCCACCTGTTTCAAAAATGAAGCAATTTGGTCGCGTAATTTCCCAACACCCCACCTCCATTGTCAAGATCAAGCACTTTGATGCTGCCCTGTTATGTTATCCAAGTATTGTGGAAAAAGGTACCCTTAGAAGCGCGTTTATCTTGACTAAGACTTTGGAACACCATCATCTGCTTGCCAGCCATCCCAATTCCCACCATTCATTCATTGTCCGTCGTTGCTCAGAGAATTGGAACCATAACTGCGGTGGCCCGTTCGGGACGGGAATAGTTGTAGTAGTAGTAAAGAAACGAAATAGAACTAGTCTATTAGTACTGGTCCTCCTAGAGGATATTTTCAGAGTTTGTTGACTGTTGAGTCCAAGCCGTAAGATAGAAGTTCGCTAGAAGAAAAAGCTTTTGATTATCGGTATATAATGGAGAATTCAGACAAAGCTCTTTGCTTTATTAAGCAACTGAAAACGACAGGCACTCCCAGGAAATTATACTTCCCTCTTTCGTTTTGTACCCAGAAAAAAGAAAAAGACGGCCAGAAGCATGTAGCCGGTGGGCATCGCCCAACGGGTACCGCTGGAGACAACAGGAGCTGAAGTCTGGGCGGCACTTCAAGTGTTTGCGTGTGGGTCGGTCCCCTGAGTAATATCCACAGAGAATGGCATGTATTTTCAGGAAGAAAACTGGGGGAAAAAATCTAGGAGATTGCAATGATACCATCATACCCCGCATCTACATCACCCGAAATTGCTCAAAAGTTATTGAATCAGTCCAAGATTCAATTTAGGATTTCTCCAATCACCGTTTAAAAAGTTATTATTCCTCTTGACTAGTTGGTAAGATTGGTGAGATTTACAAATTAGGTTGAATCTAGTAGCTCGTAGGGTGATTATTACTGTGTTTTGTAATGTTTCGAAACTCGGACTGATGGTTAAATTAGTAAAGTGGTCGGGTTAGGGTTCAATCGGTTCAAATCCGATCCATTAATTTTTTAATTTATTTTTTATTTTAAAAATAAATAATAACAAATAAGCAGAAATATGTATAATCAACACAAAAATCCTAAATTTTAAATATCTTTTAGAGAAGATTTACTGATTTAGTATCTTTTAATTCATCAACCAAAAAAAGAAAAAGTACTTCTTAAAAAAAATTAAGAATCAACAAAATTATGAACAAATCTATCCAATATTTTAACTTAAAGAAGGAAGACTTTAACTTTCCCAACTCAAAAACAAATCTGATAGAATTTGTAAAATTGACTCCAAAAAAAGTAGAAAAAATTAATGAGTATGAAAACAAAAGATAGAAGAGGAAAGGAAAAACGAGTTTGCTTCTTTATCTACTAAGTTCAACTTCATGATCATCTACACCATTAATAATGTAAAAGAAAAGAGGGAAAAATGCAAAAAAAAAAAAAAAAAAAAAAAAAAAAAAAGATGAGTAGAGTTTGTAGAGTGGCTCCTAGAGGTGAAAATTCTTAAAAGAGAAGAGAATTAAGAGTTTCTTTAGTTTTTTTTTCAACATAGGGAGTATCCCAGTTTTGCCAGATTAATCTCCTTGCGCCCGTGCACCCCCCTCCAAGAATACACAAGCAGTAGAGAGATGACTCGAACACACGATCTTGGGACCTAATTAGGCTACCTTGAGACCATCTGAGCCAATCTTAATGGACAAAAATCTATGCTAAGATTTTCATTTTTTTAGGGCAAATTACATTTTACCCCCTCCCCGGTGATTTAGCCTTTTTTTTTTTTACATAACCCCCATATGGTTTCAAAAGCTATACATAACCCTCTCATGATTTGGATTAAAGTGTCAAAGTGACGGAAATAGTCACTCGTAACGGAACTTCTAAAAATATCGAAATTATCCTTATAAATACATAACACATTAACCCCATATAATTTTTATATTTTAATATATAACCCCTTTATGATTTTTAAAATTACCATATAACCCCCTTATGGTTTTCAAAATATACAAATAACCCCCCTTGGTTAATAAATAATTTTCAACTTTACATAGGGGTATTTTTGACATTTTAGGTGACTCCGTTACGAATGGTCATTCCCGTCACTTTGACATTTTAATCCAAACCATAAGGGGGTTATGTATAGTTTTTGAAATCATAGGAGGATTATGTAAAAAAATGCTAAATCACAGGGGGTAAAGTGGAATTTGCCCTTTTTTTTAATATATGGAGTATCCCAATTTTGCCAAACTAATCTCCGGTAAAGAGATGACTCGAACACATGACCTTAAGACCTAACTAGGTTATCTCGATACCATCCGAGCCAACCCAAGGGATTTTTAAATTTTAGTTGAATTAGTCATTTTGTTTTGAAGTTTGACCAACTAAGGTATTTTCTTTAATTCGAGAAAAGATGGCCCATCATCCAACTTAATTGTAGCAGCAAACAATTAGTTGTAGTTGTTAGGCTTTGATAGAGCCCAAAAGCTCAAACAATTGAGTAGCCTATAAAAGAAAAGTCCAAGGCCCAAGTCAAAATTCATAAATCGGACTTGACCTGTTTAAGCGATTTATTCCGGTTCACCAATTTTGATTGATTTTGACTGATTTTTTAACTTTTTGGGGTTTTTCATAGAATTGGACCAGTATCATGGTTAGTTTGTGATTCGATCGATCGAACTGACCGATTTGGTCCGATTCTTAAAATATTAATGTTTTGCCCTTCCATAGAATTTTTAACTAAAACTGTTATATGGTCAAAAAGAAAATGCAAAATATGTAATAATTAGAATTTAAAGTGTAAACTAAGAAACAACACTTGAAATTAGCTTTGCAACCTGTAAGTGTTGCAAAAAAATAGTTCATCATTTTTCATTCATCATCTCCCCTTTGATAAAGATACAATCAAAACACAAATACTTCCTAAATAATCTTAACAAGATAATAGAAAATCAAAGATAGTTAAACTAGTCAAAAGACCAAAAATATAGAACAATTCTAACAAGTAGCTAACAACCTAACTTACAGAACTAAATTCAACCCCTTCACCTACGTATGCTCCTTTGGCATCTCCTGATTAATAAAATAATGTTTGATTACTTGAATAATTAGTCATCAAACTCAAATCCCAAACGAATCCACAAAAGAATTGA